AAGTATCAAGTATCAAGTATCAAGTATCAAGTATCAAGTATCAAGTATCAAGTATCAAGTATCAAGTATCAAGTATCAAGTATCAAGTATCAAATATCAAGTATCAAGTATCAAGTATCAAGTATCAAGTATCAAGTATCAAGTATCAAGTATCAAGTATCAAGTATCAAGTATCAAGTATCTAGTATCAAGTATCAAGTATCAAGTATCAAGTATCAAGTATCAAGTATCAAGTATCAAGTATCAAGTATCAAGTATCAAGTATCAAGTATCAAGTATCAAGTAAGTATCAAGTATCAAGTATCAAGTATCAAGTATCAAGTATCAAGTATCAAGTATCAAGTATCAAGTATCAAGTATCAAGTATCAAGTATCAAGTATCAAGTATCAATATCAAGTATCAAGTATCAAGTATCAAGTATCAAGTATCAAGTATCAAGTATCAAGTATCAAGTATCAAGTATCAAGTATCAAGTATCAAGTATCAAGTATCAAGTATCAAGTATCAAGTATCAAGTATCAAGTATCAAGTATCAAGTATCAAGTATCAAGTATCAAGTATCAAGTATCAAGTATCAAGTATCAAGTATCAAGTATCAAGTATCAAGTATCAAGTATCAAGTATCAAGTATCAAGTATCAAGTATCAAGTATCAATCAAGTATCAAGTATCAAGTATCAAGTATCAAGTATCAAGTATCAAGTATCAAGTATCAAGTATCAAGTATCAAGTATCAAGTATCAAGTATCAAGTATCAAGTATCAAGTATCAAGTATCAAGAATCAAGTATCAAGTATCAAGTATCAAGTATCAAGTATCAAGTATCAAGTATCAAGTATCAAGTATCAAGTATCAAGTATCAAGTACCAAGTATCAAGTATCAAGTATCAAGTATCAAGTATCAAGTATCAAGTATCAAGTATCAAGTATCAAGTATCAAGTATCAAGTATCAAGTATCAAGTATCAAGTATCAAGTATCAAGTATCAAGTATCAAGTATCAAGTATCAAGTATCAAGTATCAAGTATCAAGTATCAAGTATCAAGTATCAAGTGAGGCGAGATGCTTTTAAAAGATTTTAAGAAAAATTTAAAGAAAGTGATTCAAAAAAGTTAGGAGTGATTCAAAAAAGTGCGAGATGCTTTTAAAAGATTTTAAGAAAAATTTAAAGAAAGTGATTCAAAAAAGTTAGGAGTGATTCAAAAAATTGATTCAAAAAATAATTCAAAAAAGTTTTTTGAATTCAAAAAAAAATTCAAAAAACTTTTTTGAATTCAAAAAATCATTCAAAAAACTTTTTTGAATTCAAAAAATCATTCAAAAAACTTTTTTGAATTCAAAAAATAATTCAAAAAACTTTTTTGAATTCAAAAAATCATTCAAAAAACTTTTTTGAATTCAAAAAATAATTCAAAAAACTTTTTTGAATTCAAAAAATAATTCAAAAAAGTTTTTTGAATTCAAAAAATAATTCAAAAAAGTTTTTTGAATTCAAAAAATAATTCAAAAAAGTTTTTTGAATTCAAAATATAATTCAAAAAAGGAATGTTTCAAAAAAACCAAAAAAAATTTTAAACTTTTTTATTGTTTTCAATAACATTTGGGAAATTTTTAATCAAGTTTAAATATAGATTCTCTTTTTAATTAAAAAATTCCGTTTGCTTTCACAGTTTAATTGTTTTTTTGCTGGGTGAGGCTATGTCGTGTGATGAACTAATGCCAGCTGCCAGCAAAGAGCAGTTAGGGCAGTACAATATTATTCTATTCTAGAGATTTTTTTGTATTAGAAAGATCTTCTTGTAACAGTGATAACAAAAAATAAATAACTTGATACGTATATTTTGTTCTCAATTGAAGCTACTAGTAGTGAAACACCATTAGGCCCTTTGATTGACTACTAGTAGCTACCTTAGACCTCGATGATGGATGGACCGGAATGATGATGATGACAGCGCCGAATTCGAAGTGGTGATGGTGAATAGTACTCATCCCTACAACAATAAGATTATCCAGAAACGTGTAAACAGGATTTCATTGTCCTACCCAAGAATGTTGGTCTTTGTTGAGAATTGCAGAGTTGACTAGTTGCTTCGGTCTTCGCAACGGAAAAGTGTCGTCGTTAGCTAGCGATGGAGGTAGGTAGGTACTGCTTGAGACCGGCTAAAAAGTGAAGTCTGATTAAAAAAGATCTTTTGATGGGTAAGTATGTATCCCATAAGAACTGAGAAATTTGGCCTGTAGAGTCCATAATTTCAAACAGTTCCAAGATTGGGCTTCTAGATCAAAAGTCACAGTCCTCTTTGAACTTTCTTTCCAAATTGGTTTCTAGTCCATAACTTTTGATTGAGAAGTCTAATCGAAAAAGTACTAATTGTTTTGGATTCTACGCACCAAAATTAATAAGAAAAAGTGTTTTCCCGAGAAATTTTGGTGAAGTCGATTTTTGGTAAAAAAGGAAGGTTGTAACTGCCTTTTGTTGAGCCCCTCGAAAAAAATTGTCTCAGATCGACCCGGAAAAACAATTTTCTTATAGAATGTGGCCTGTAGAATCCATAATTTCAAACAGTTCCAAGATTGGGCTACTAGATCAAAATGGCCGGTTTTTCGGAAAATCTAGTATGACGAGTTGCCTATACACCAGGATGCACAATCCTAACTCGCATAATAAAGCTTTTTTACATATTTTTAAAGTTCATATTGAAATTTTGAGGCCATTACCCATACGTATGACATTTCAATAAATTTAAACAGATGTAAATAAGTACTAGAGAGTTTTAATGATACGAAAATATGAAATTAGTATTCATTCTTTCCGCGCGCTAACAAATCAATTGTTGGGAACATGAAGCCATTGTAATTCAATAAACAATGATGAAACGATAATGCAGCAACCAATTATAAATCCTGAAGTGTATGTGTTTTGTAAATCTTTGATCTTGTACTGCCTAAATGTAGCAACACAAAGCAAAATTTCAAAATATATCGTTTCGACATCTAACGTTATTTCTCTGAACTGAATTGTAAATGTTACCAATAAATGCAGGGCGCTAACTTATCACCATCATAATGTGACATCATATTCGCATAGATGTCGCTACCGTATGACAGAAACCTGCAACTAACCTACTAGTAATAATATGATCGATTCAGTAAACTAACGTCAGATGTCAGACCGAAGTAAACTTTAAATTTAAAAAAATCAACATGCAATTTTGATACATTTAGACAGTATGTACTTTATTTCTTAGTCTAAGGTATGTACAAGTAACAAATTTACAAAACACATAAACTTCAGCGTTTATAATTGATTGCTGCATTACTTTTCATCATTGTTTAATCACAACAAATGATTAGTTTACGCGCGGAAAGAATGAATACTAAATTCATATTTTTGTTTCATAAAACCACTTCGAGTACTTATTTACATCATTTTAAATTTAATGAAATGCCGTTCGTAAGGTTAATGACTTCAAAATTCTAATATATACTTTCAAAAATAGGTAAAAAGGCTTTAATAGACACGTTAGGAAAGTACACCCTGGTGTGTAGGCAACTCGTCTAACCCCATGACTTGAAAAGCGGCCATGTTTTTTGCCATTTTGTATATTGTATAGAACACGAAATCTAAAGGCGAAGGACCAGGAGAGCATAAACCAAGAAAGATAATTGTTCATAATTGCTGTTTGAAATAAAAATGCCGATAATGTCGTTTCCTACTATATTGACTGAGTAGAAAATTAACCTCAAAGGCTGAAACTGTTGTTTACTTTTTCATCATTAAAGTGAACGTTTTTTTTGTAATTCTGCCTGCTCCTACTATTTCAAAATATGAAAATGGAACTTCAATTGAAAGTTTCGTTCATGGAATCGACTCTCATGTTCGGTCTGGCTATTGGGTGAAATGGAACTTATTGCTCTGGCTTAGCTGATCCTAACGCAGGTGGTCCTCCACCCATGAGAAGGCATATTAAAGAGAAAAGTGTTTGGGATGGAAAACTAGGTCTTGGCCTTGTTGTTGGATCAGTTACACAGTACTCATATAGACGTTAGCGTAATTAAGACCAATGGCCACTTTCATAATAATTTCTTTTGCGCTTACTGACACTTCTTAGGGTCACATTTTGTATTGCAATTGAAGATAAAGTGATTCCAAGACGAGAAGTTCCACAAGAAACTTGAAACAAATACTAACAGAAGATTCTTTCGGGTTGGTTTAGAAAAGCAGACCCATTCTGCCAAGGGAGATGAGGTACTTCCTTACAAATCCGTGGCGGATATTCAGTAATTAGAGGGACATCCTATTTATCACAAGAAGCAAATGCACATTGGTAGATTTTGTAGTATCAATTTGTTAAACGGTTTGTGTTTGTTTATCCGCAGTATAAGTTATGCATGCATAAATTATGCTTTTTGGAGATGTAGTTATGTTCTTAGATATAAATTTCATGTTTGCAAGAGGTTCGAATTTGGCAAATAAACAGTTAATTTAGTTTAATGTTGGTAATGAGTTCTATTTCTAAAAAAGGTTTAAAAATGGTCTCAATTCTTAGTAAATGGTTACCAAGTTTGTTAAGAAATGCTGCACTGACAAGAATGCATAAAAAGGCCTTTAAGGCTGTCGCATATTATTTGCCCGTTCCGGCGACGGTTTACGCTAACGCACACTTATGAGTCTTGACGAAACGGGATAATGTGCGCAGAGATGTTTAATTCAATGTCTTTCATGTTGAACATTTTTTAACGGGACGGAATGGAACGGACAAGTGTGCGGCAATCTTTATGTGGTACACTTGATCTGTCAAAACCATTATTTCAGTTCAATTGAAACGACAAATAGTAGTGTATGTGTAGATCGTTAACGATTTACTTAATGAAATAGGGTATTGATGAATCGACGGTGGATGGTTCTTTACGATCAATCCTTTCATATGAGTGGTAAGTTTTGAGCAATCCTACCGTCGCGATATCCTTTCAGATTGATCGTAACGATGGATCATTGCCTATATATGGAGCCTATCACGAAGAAGTCTGTCATCCAGTCGTAAACACGTATCGAGTGCTGGAGACATAAAAGTTACTAAAGTACATAGCAACCAATTATAAACGCTGAAGTTTATTTGTTTTGTAAATTTGTTACTTGTACATACTGCCGAAATGTATCAAAATTATCTACATTCCCTCTGTTTTTTTATGGTAGTTCCTAAAATTTAAAAGAACATATCCTTCTGACATCTAATGTTAGTTTGCTGAATCGATTATATTCCGACTAGTAGGTTAGCTGTAGTTTTCTGTCATACAGTAGCGACATCTATGCGAATACAATGTAACATTAGGATGGCAATAATTCAGTGCCCTACATTTAATGGTAACACGTACAATTCAGTTCAAGGTAATAACGTTAGATGTCGAAAGAAATATTTGTTGAAATTTTGCTTTTTGTTACTGCATTTAGGCAGTACAAGATCAAAAATTTACAGAACACATAAACGTCAGCATTTATAATTGGTTGGTGCATTAACGTTTCATCATTGACCATTGTTTATTCAATTACAATGGTTTCACGTTCCCAACAATTGATTTGTTAACGCGCGGAAAGAACGACTATTAATTTCATATTTGCCTTTCATAAAACCTCTCTAGTACTTATTTACAGCATTCCAATTCCGTACGTACGGTTCATGGTCTCACAATTCCAAGATACTTTAAAAATGCTATATTAGGAGCGTTAGGATTATGCCCCCTGGTGTATAGGCAACTCGTCATACTCGATGACTAAAAAAACCGGCCATGTTTGTTTGCCATTTTCTATATACAGAACATAAAAATCTGAAGACGGACGACCAGGAGAACATGAACTGAGGAAGGAATAATTTTCATTTTTAGGAAGAATAATATATTGGCTATAATATCGTTTCCTATATTTTGTGGTAAAATTAACCTCAAATAGTTATTTACTTTTTAATTATTAAAATGAACGTTTTTTTGTAATTCTTCTTGCTTTTACAAGTTCAAAATAAGAAAATGGAATTTCAATTGAAAGTTTTATTAATGGAATCGTCATAAGTTCGGTTTGGCTTTTGGGTAAAATGGAACTTATCGCTCTGGTTCTGCCGATCCGAAGACCCTGTGGTTCTTTATGGATGGGAAAGCATGCAAAGGAGAAAAGGGGGTCGGAAATGTATAGCTAGGTCTGGACATTACTGTTGAAAGAGATATGCAGTGCTCATATAGCAGTTAGCATAATTAAGACTCACTTTACATTACCAGATCGAAAGCTTTGGTACGTAATTAAAATATAAATTATAATTTCTTTTGTACTTACTGACACTTATTAGGGTAAATTTCGAAATGCAATTAATGGTAAACTGAATCCAATACCAGAAGTTTCACAAGAAACTTGAGACAAGTACTAATGGAAGATTCTTTCCGGTAGTTTTGGAAAAGCGGACACATTCTGCCAAGGAAGACACGAACCTGGTTAAACTGGCTTACAAGTCTGTAACAGATGTTCAGTGAGCAGAAGGACTTACCTATTCATCACAAAAAGCAAACGAACATTAGTCGATTTTGTAGTATCAGTTTGTTAAACGATTCCTGTTTGTTTATTCGTAGTATAAGTTACGCATGCATGAATTCGCTTATGCTTTTTTAGAGATGTATTTATTTCATTATTATTCCAAAAGGTTCGAATTTGGCAAATAAACAGTCTGTGTAATTAAGTCATCAATGTTTGTAATGAGTTCTATTTCCAAAAAAGTTTTAAAAATGGCCTCAATTCTTAGTAAATGTTTACAAAGTTTGTTAAGAAATGCTACACTGAAAACAATGCATAAAGAGGCCCTTATACGGTATGATATCTGTCAAAGCCATTATTTCTGACCAATGGAAACAACAAATCGATAGTGTGTGTGAAGATGGTTAACGATTTACTTAATCAAATAGGACAGTGGATGGGTCTTTACGATCAATGATTCGTTGATGGTCTCAGTCTAACGTATTGAATTATTTGAGCTCGTTATTGTTCCCTTTCAAACATTTTAATGATCGATCGTAACAATCAATCCTTTTGTGTGATAGTGGTAAGTTTTGAGCAATCTACCGTCACGATATCCTTTCAGATTGATCGTAACGACGGATCATTCCTATGGGGCCTATCATGATGAAGCCTCTGGTCGAAAACCCATACCGAGTGTTAGGAACATAAAAGTTAATGAAGTACACAGCAACCAATTATAAACGCTAAAGTTTATGTGTTTTGTAAATTTGGTACTTGCACATACTGCCGAAAAGTCTCAAAATTATCTACATTCCCACTGTTTTTTTATTGTAGTTCATAAAATTTAAGAGTTCTCCAAGAAACGTTTAAGCAACAAATATAAACGGGCACGTCATTCCGATGAAGAGTATGCCCCTTCCAATTTGGACGCAAGTTCTGAGGGCAGTAAAAGAAAATATCCTTCTGACATCTAATGTTAGTTTGCTGAATCGATTATATTCTGACTAGTAGGTTAGCTGTAGTTTTCTGTCATACACTAGCGACATCTATGCGAATACAATGTAACATTAGGATGGCAATAATTCAGTGCCCTACATTTAATGGTAACACGTACAATTCAGTTCAAGGCAATAACGTTAGATGTCGAAAGAAATATTTGTTGAAATTTTGTTTTTTGTTACTGCATTTAGGCAGTACAAGATCAAAAATTTACAAAACTCATAAACGTCAGCATTTACAATTGGTTGGTTCATTAACGTTTCATCATTGACCATTGTTTATTCAATTACAATGGTTTCACGTTCGCAACAATTGATTTGTTTACGCGCGGGAAGAATGACTAATAATATCATATTTGCCTTTCATAAAACCTCTCTAGTATTTATTTACATCATTTCAATTCCGTACGTATGGTTAATGGTCTCAAAATTCCAATTATACTTTAAAAATGTATCAAAATTACTATATTAGGAGCGTTAGGATTATGCCCCCTGGTGTATAGGCAACTCGTCATACTCGATAACTGAAAAACCGGCCATGTTTTTTTCCATTTTGTATATATAGAACGCTAAGTCGTCTAGGATTATGCAGATTAGGAACAGCTCAGGTAGTTTTGTTAGCATCGTTTTTGGCGATTTAAGCATTTAAATTATTCCAGACGTTCTTAATAAGTTTGGATATGAGTGCCGAAACGTCATATCTTCCTTATCATGTTTAAATTCGACAAACTCCATACACCAATTATATGCCCAGTCTTCAGACTGGCCATCAAATAATCTATGCAATTCCTGCCAGACTTCATACGCTGTCTCAAATCTTATTACCTTTTTTAATGTCTCATCTTTCTGTCATGTTCATTGTGATAATGAGCAGAGCGCTACTTTCAGACTTCTTGTACTTGGCTAATTGCTGACGATCTTCAATCGGTTTCTGCACCTTACGTTCGACTACCCCAATGGCACCTTCTGCACCAAGTAGCATTAGAAACCTTGTATTTCCAAGTAACCGAGTTTACCTTTCTTTCCAATTTGGAGTTTTGTCGAAAATACTACCATCTTGAACCTGTTATACTTACCTATTATACTACAAGTCTTTATTTTTCTAACTGGTATTATACTATGCTGTTAGTATGAGTTGTATTTTTACAAATGGTTTAAAACTGGATTCCAAGTTTGTTAATGAGAAATGATGCATTTGCTTAATATTTGCAGTGTTTTTAATAAAATTTTCTTCAAATGAGAAATTGTTCAATGCGCAACTATGATTGATGTGGTCGAGTGGTTCCAAAAGTAAAACTAATCCACATTTGCAAATATGTCTTTCTGATATATATGCACCTTAGACATCATATGAAAATGGAATAAATAAGCCCTATTCACTGTATTAGCGAATTCCATTCACAATTAAAATATAATTGACGCACTTAATTCCATTTGTGGTTAAACAGTTGACTACCTGAGTCGTAAAGGTAAAAGCCAGCATTTACCACTTTTACATTCCGAGCACTTGTCCGATAAATAGTAGGTAGGTACCAGTCATTGTGGTGCAATTACTTTGGAAAAGAACTCAAAACTTACTCTTGCAACCTGTTATCGCGAGCATTTTTCAATTATTAACTCTTTAGTAATCAGTATATAGTATAAAATAATAGTACACATTGTTGGTATAAAGGATACTGCAACTACTAAAAAAGCTCTGAACCAAAGTTCTTTTTTTAATGGAAAACTAAAGAAGCTTTCGAGACATTAGCTTTTCTATAGCTTTAAAATAGTTCGCAAGCAATTACTGTTTGCAAGAGCTCGATCTAGCTCTGATTTCAATGCAATAGATCTCTCCTCTTTGGCAACGTCTGGTTTTACACACTTCGACATGTACATACTTATACCAAAATACGTCTGGACACGCTTTATGCTTTCAAGGGTGTGTGGATGTGATTTTCATTCTTAGCACCATTGAAAGGAGAGGACAGCGATACTATGTTTCTATAAAGGGGAAGAAACCAGACCTCAAGAGATTTTGAAAGTAAGAAAATGTTTCCTATATAGGCACGCGCACACCGTTATCTCAAGAATCAGGATAGGTTGCCAATATTGTAATTTTTAGGGTACTCACAAGAAATAATGGAGATGATCTTGCAGGCCCATATACGACCATATCACCGAATCCATCTTTTCCGCCGGAGCGATTCATCCACAAAACGCAAGGAACGCGAAGTGCGGACGTTCTTCATCTAAGCTACTCTAGTAGCGGTGTCCAAGAAGTGAGATGCTAAAAACTCACACACGAGTGCCTTTAGACATGGCCTACACGATACCTATTAAAAGTTATGGATTGGGTTGGGCGTTATTAAAGAAGCGCCTTTTAAGATATAGTTTGAGCAATGAACCACCCACAACCTACATTGAATTGAACTTAAAAAATAGGGGTCAATAATACGATCCCCATTTTTTTAAAAGTAAGTTGGTCGTTTTTCTATTTAAGCTCCTGACTGACTCACTCATTCCGTCACAGAGGTTTTACCAGAAGATGAAAATGTTAAAAGTACACTTCCTCCTCCAAAACTAAGGTTTACGTGTCTGAGTGTATGTGGAAAAAGTAAACTTAGGCGAAAACTTCTTGATGCACCACCTAATCTTTGCCATTCCATTAATTATTATCATAAAATCAAAACTCACTCTTTTCCCGTGAAGTACATTTCGGACAGCAACGCCTGCCTTTCCAAAGTGGCGTTGGACTTGGACAAACCCCATCCGTCCATCACTCCCTTTCAAAATTATGGTTTACTTGTAGAAGCATATTTCCACTTTTTCACTTGCTATTTGCAAGAAGAAAATAGGCGAAAACTTCTCGATGTGCCATCCACGTTGGATATGTTAACGTCTTACGCGCGGAGCACATGGCACATCACAACCGCTATTATTGGCGATTCATTCGCAAATGATTCACGTCGAGGCATAAATAAAATTGTAAGTGCGATATAGAGAAACAAAAACAGGTGCATGTTACTTAACTACATGCCTACCATAATCCTTTTATAAAGGGTGACGCACCTGAAACAATTCGCTCCTAAAAATTGTGCAACAGAAATACCTATACCGAGTGGGATATGTTTTATAGTGATTTTAATTTGTTTTTCTCTCCACACTTTTATCTTCACCATACCCGACTTTAAAATCTTATATAGTGCCATATCTCCTTCTGGGACACATTAAATAAAAGGGGACCGACAAGAAATCCAAATTCCAATTTTTTAGAGACAAATTTTCCAAATGTTTTGGATTTTTTGTCGATTTCCAATTTTTATCGCCAAATGCAAATAAAGCGACAAAAGATCCAACCAATTTAGAAACTATGATTTGGATATCTTGTCGGTGGTAGGTACAAGATTTCCAAAAAGTTCGGAAAGCGTTTGACAAGATATCCTATTTTTTTAATACAAGAAATCCCGAGCCCGAGCCGCTGTACAAGCGTATATACACTGATGCAAATTGAATTCGCCTTGACTAAATAAAATAGATAAATAGACAAATTAAATTATTGTCCTCGATGGTATAGAACGAGTGGTTTTTTTACGGGGATTCCTATAAGCAATAACTTACTTAGAAACCCTATAACATTTCACACATAGTTTTGGGGTAGTTTAAACGATCCGTAGACTATGGCAATTATCGACATTAATTTTTTCGAACCAAATTTTACTGAACAAGAATTTTACTCAGTCGGATATTTTGTCCAAAAAAAATGTAAATTTGGAAATCTTGTCGCGCCGTACCGACAAGATTCCAAATCGTAGTTTCCAAAATGGTTGGATATTGTGGCTTTATTTGGATTTGGATAATTTGGCGATAAAAATTGGAATCTTTCTTTGATTCCTTGTCGATCCCATAAAATGGGCAAAAAACCGATTTCTAAAAAAAAGTAAAGCCATAGGTAACCTTTATTCTAGTGGTCCAATCTTGAAAATAGTGGTTTTGGATTCTACGTACAGGTCACAATCTATACGAGTCGAGTCAAAATTTGTCAATTTTCGGCGAAGCTATACTCCAGCCTAGCCTATAAATTCTGTCGAAAAAAGGGATTTTCCGAAATTAATCTTTTATAGATATTGTTCTGTAGATTCCAAAACAACCAGAATTTTCAAGATCAGACGATTACATAAAAGTTTATGTGCAAAAAAAGTCCAAAGAAGACCGAAAATAATGTTAATCCAATCTTGAAAATTCTGGGCGTTTAAAATATGGAAAGGGAATTTCAATGGAAAGTTTCATTCATAGAATTGTAGTATACTCGGCCTGGCTATTGGGTGAAATGGAACTCTGGGCTAGGCGATTGGAAGACCGGGTTTCTTGATGAGAAAGTATATTAAGGAGAAAATGGCATTAGGTACATTATCAGATCAGTATACATGTAAAAACCAATATGAGATGTTCCACAGATAAAAATTCTTTCGGGTAGTTTTAGAAAAGAGCGATCTTATTCTGCCACAAAGAAGGCAAGAAACTGGTAAAACTTGCTTACAAATCCGTAGTATTCAGTAATCATAAGGACATCCCACATTCATCACAAGAAGCAAACGAACATTAGTCGATTTTGTAGTACTTACTTATCATTTTGTTAAACAATTTCTGTGTGTTTATCCACAGTATATATGTGCATGCATGAATTCGCTTATGCTGTTTTAGAGATGCATTCATAAATTTTCATGTTATTATTGCATGAGGAAGACAGACCTGGTGTAATGTTGCCAAATTTGACAAGAAGACAAATCTGTGTAATTAAGTGTTAGTATAATGAGTTGTATTTTCACAAAAAGTTTAAAAATTTCCTCCATTCTTAATAAATGGATACCTACCAAGTTTGTTGAGAAATGCTGCATAAAGAGTGTTCTTTTTAATAAAATGTTCTTCAATTGAGAAATTGTTCAGTTAGCAACTAGTTTGATTGATAATCCATATTGCAAAAATGTCCTGCTTATGCAACTTGTAGGCAAAATTTGACCAATTCATATGAGAATGGAGGAGAATTAAAAAATAATTCATTTGAAATTATGTACTTACAAGCCCAAATCTTTACTGTATTAGCGAATTCTATTTGAAGCACTCTTCATTTATGATTAAGCAGTTGACTATTCAGATAAAGAATTGAATTCATTGTTCGCTCATTGGTCAACCGATGAGAGCATAGCGTCCCTGGCCGCAACCGTTTAATAGCAGAGCTCCGAACTCTGCATAGCAATTCCTGCTTCAACGGCGCTTCAAAAAAAAACCATCTCTCCGCTACAGAACCAGGTCGTCTTACCGGCTCGACATCGCGCCATGCTCTACCACCCAGAGAACCAGCATTTGAGCTCACTCCATCGACAGCGCTCGCCGCGTGCACTTCGGCTATATATTCCATAAAACGCAACAGGATTTTTTAGTGTCGTCCGCTGAACCAACTGAACTTTGTGACAGCTCAAAGCTCCACTTTGGTCAGGTACCAACATGCTTTTGACGATCAAAAAACCTTTACTGGTAACATCAAAGCTCGCGTGTCTCTATTTTTATGCCCCTGAAAAAGTACTTAGTTACACAAGGTCTACAGATGAATTAATCCCGATTTCAAATAAGTACCTACTTTTTCAGGGGCATGAAAATAGGGACACGCGAGCTTTGATGTTACCAGTAAAGGTTTTTTCTACATATATACGGTTACACAAAATAGCATTCAATCCAGCATTTTAAATCATATCCGCCACTCTGTGTAATAGTACAGTAAAATAATAGTCAGCTAAACATAAGTTTATTTAACCATGAACACATTGTCAGAATAAGATAAAACAGATTGCGCCATTTACAGTACTAGTGATCGCCAAGAAAAATGATATAATAATAAGTAATAATAATAATAGTAACAGTAATATATAAATAACAATGAATAATAATGTCGCCAACAGAAAGGAGACCAGCACAGAGGCACCTCCAGTGTATGAATAAAAGAATAAACTACTCCTAGTAATAGGAGGCACTCGCGCAGATACAACAGATTTCCATCATAACAACAGGCACCAACAGTCATAAGTAGTTGATGTATAATGACGTAATCTGGTATTTGCTAACATTATATAGATACACAGATATCAATAAATAGGATTTAATATTTCAAGGTACCTTTAAGGCTAGATGAGATCACTAGAACACTATCTCTATACGCAGGCCGTACAATGGACAGTGAGTCAGTCGATTCATCTGGCATGCAACAGAACTGAATGCAAGAAAGCACTGTCACAGCACGGAGAGCCCGCTTTCAGCGGAATTCCTATTAGATTGTACATCAGAATATTTCTATCACTTCGTATAATTTGACATTTAATACAAATATGTGTAATTAATATTGCTCATTTATGTACTTAAGTTAAGTATTACATATTATTAAGTATTTTATTAGCTATAGATATAATTTCGATTTGATCGTACATTAATTTGTTTGATGTTGATTTCATAAAAAATTACACATTTGAATATCAAGTCATATGTAAAATAACTAGATATAGAACATTTAATAATATAATATGATCTGAAACAGAACTACATGAATACACTTTATTGATGTAACATCTAATCTACAACATTTCTTAGTCTATCTCCTACCATAACACTGCATGCATTTATAAGAACGGCATAACCCACATAGTCAGGTTTAATGCACGTATATATGTAGAAAAAACTGAGCACTTGCAGAGTTATTTATTTTGATTTGACACAGTATTATATTTATATATAGGATAGAATCACACAGGCATGGGCGACTCACTGACTATCTGTGCTTCTTCATTCACAGTCAAACGTTGAAATCGCTTACAGCCTTATCATATAAACTATAACATTAAGAAGAATAAATAAATTTCTCTTTGGCGTAATCACTTTTAGTGATCACCTAACTATATAATAAAAATACTGATCAGCCAATAAAAGACTATAAAGTTCAACTACTCCTCTGCTTACTTATACACGCACTTTACGAATAGATCGTTATTACTTCTTGACCCCCTCCACGAACCATAAGTACACGTTCTAAGCCTTCTGTGAGAACTTCTAAAAATTCCATATCTGAAACAGAAAAATTTATAAAACTCTTCCGTTACAGCCGAAACTACTGGGCGCAGACAACTGAAACTTCCCGAAATTCTTACGGTAACGAGAAACAACAGGATTTTACGTTCCACAGTCAAAACTGAGATGAACGTAGGTTTCTTTGAAGGCATTAAGGTGTACCTACTCCGAAAGCACTTCCCCACTGGAACGGGGAAAAACCGAATTAAAATAGAGCGCGTACAAAGTTACGGGAAAAAGCTAATTTTTATATAAATGCAGGGTATCAGTCGAAAACGTTCTATAATGATACCGTTTAATTAATACCTTTGCCATTTAAGAATTGAATATTCAATAAATAAGTTCATCATACCAATGTGACATTCATATCCTCACGACGAGGGGTCAATTGTACCATATTCTGTACTTGATATTAACTTAGCAAGAATATTGTATTAGGTATTGGGTCTGAATCAGAAATTATGCAAATATTTTGTGTAGGAATGCGTTATGTTACTTCAGAATGGTATCAATATTCCAAGAGTGTATGTAAATTTAGCATTGTACCGTAAATTTAATTACGCGGTTTTGTTTATTGACAATGAATTAACAATAAATTTACAGTCTTAAAATGGTTTCATTTATAACAGTGCTTATTATTTATCACCTATAATTTATAACTTAACACAAACTGATTCCTCACGGACAAAATCAAAGCATGCCCGTTGACTTCCAGAGTAATATACCATAAAATCCCCGTAAGTAGATTGTCGCGGTTTCACCCGCATCACTTTCTCCACTTTCGGATGTTGCTCGGGCTCGTTCTGTTAGTCTCACGTTATTGAAAACTAAATTTAAAGTAAACAATGTCTTTGTGCACATTTTCCCATAGCATGCTCTGGCGTCTCAACCAATATGGCAAAGAAGTCAAATAAAATGGGAAGAACTCTCTGCTGTTGCCAGTCAATCATAGTTTACGAACCATTTTCACAGACTTTTCTCATTTCAAATATTAGATAAACATCGTCCTGACCTTTCCCTTGACCAAACTCTACTCTTAACCTACGTTTTGGCGCTTCGAAGAGTCTTGCCGTCTTTCTTTGAATCTTTTGTGCCATTCAAAACACCGCAGCCCACTTAGTCTTCATAGCGCCCTCGTCATACGCCGCTCCTAGCATTGTCAACGTTCTCCTTTTAATGCAAATTTGGTTAATGAGACGAAAGTGACATCTTCAAAAACGAGCATGCACATAATATGCAAATTACCTTGGCACTCTGTCCCGTAAATTTTATTGCAAGGCCTGATATATCGAACACCAAACCAATTACAAATGGACCGAAGACATCACTTCCACAAAAGTTTTATAGTGCAATAAAAATATTCATTATATACGCCGAGGCAACCCCGCTAGCACAACTGTTATATACTGTCACGTCGGCGACGCTTTCTGGGTTACAAAAACAACGTTACAACCCTTTCACTTAATTTATTAGGGATCCGTGTGTGACAATTTTAATTAGTGATTGTTAATGTGTTATTCCCATATTTGTATGTGACGTGCTGTATAGGTACGTAGGTATTTTAATTTATAACTTTCGTAATTATGAGCCCAATACGCGCGTTACAAAAAGTCAATTAATATACTTTAAAATTGTGGTTAGTCGCGTACGTCTCCATGTAGTAAATGGGGCATATATCGTTTTTAATAGGAACAATTATTTTTTATTACATATTCTTAAAGTGCACACCTTTGATGCTGCTATATCCAAAAAAGTCTACTCTATAATGGCATGTAATGAAAGCAAGTAGTTGCCATTCAAAAAATGTGCCCCCCTTGACCATTGACCACAAGTTTAATGTGCGCAAATTGGTAGCAAACAAACAAATTCTGGATATTTGCAAAAGTTGTAGTTTTGAAGATATGTCTAAAACATTCTGCAAGTCAGGTGGTTGGTCATAATGAAACCCAAATCTACTTATCGGTTCAAGGGGGCAGAAGCCTATCGATTTTGAAACAAATTTTTCATCTTTTTTATCGTATTCTTTTATAAGTATACTTATGTTAGAACGCAAGAAACATACGTTTTGTTAACGATTGAAGCACTGATTATCTATTCAAAGATCATACCACAGATTTAAATATACTATTAAATCTGTGTTCATACTTTACGAAGAAAGTTACCATTTAAACAAAAAATTATGTCGTTCAAGTTAACTTGGTATTTGGATTCGGATTTTCAAGTATTACAGTTCACCAGCTAAGTTATATACCAAATTATGAGTTTATTAAAAAAAAAAGGGGGTGTAAACCGCATATAAGCGTAATGAAAACAATATAAATCTACTACGAAAGCATGCAAAAACCTTATAAAACAACAAAAATGATCAAACTACCCTTTAAATATAGCTTATTCCTTTGTAATTACTTTAGTAACAGGCCACAAAAACTCATTATAAACATAAAGACTAGGTACTTATGCAAAGAGGCCATTTACAAATGCGGATGTTATGGGACGAACCTACCCTTCAGCGACAGAGTAAAATTATGACTTCTGCGATTAAGTTTGTAACAGGCTGGAGCAACTTTTAAAAATTTATGCAATAAATAAGAAACACTTCAGTTTAAAAAAGTGTGTTACACTGAAGTCAAGCCAGCAGAAGTGGTTTCACCCTCCCCGGTTAGTAAACCAGCCCGGATCACATCCTTCTTGAGACGTGGAGATCGAACGTCCCAAAGTCGCCCATGTCCAGGGCTGCCTCGATCCTTCCACTCGTCCCAATCGTTTAGTCGTATGGCCTTTGCCTCCACAGCTTTTTGTAAAGTTTTTGCATGCTCATCGTAGTTAATTTATATTTTAATTTTTTTACGCTTGTATGATTTTGACAACCGTTTTTATTATAATTTCCTAATTTCGTGTAATTTAGCTCATCAATAGTACTGTTTGTGAATTTGAAACCGAATCCCAAACTAACATCAACAAGTTTACCACTGGAGGAAAGAAAAAGACTATTAGAGGAAAATTTATGTTTGCATTGCCATGCAAATGGTTACACAGACCAATAGCAGTAATTTAGTCATTAGTCAGTAATTTCTTTTTAAATTATTACAATGAAACTTACCTTGTACATTTCAGATCGACTTAGATTTTAAAAGGGTGCATTCAAGAAAAGAATTTGGATTGATTTCAAAGTGGTCTTTTGTTTAAGTCAAAAATAGTAGGTACCCAGCCATCTTTAACAACAAAATTAAAGAACAAAATATTACATTCCAGTTTATGTTAATCTTTCTAGTTTCTATATGATATAATTGAGCTGCCTATAGGATTTGTTTAATTGTTTACATACCTTAATTCCTCCTACCATTAAAAACTAAAGAAAACAGAAAAGGCGACTAGGCCTGGCGATAATGATTTCCTTGGAATTGAAGTTTTTTTTAATGAATTTTAATGAGTTGAAGTCGTTTAAAAAAGAATTGATAGGTACCTTGAAATGGAATTGCAAACAAAAACTTAAGTAATTCCTTTCTAAATGTCTTTGTCCTGAAGCCCAAAGGACCTGAAACTTTTTGAAAGTTTTAAAATCTTACAGATCCGACCATCTCACAGCTTTTTTAATCTTACTCAATGGGAGATCTTCTTAAATTAGATGGGTTTGATTATTCGGTCACCTTGATGTATAACTGTACAAATACGACTAAGAAGATCCTTACTTAAACGTTCTTTAAAATGACCAAAATAAAATAACCCCGAATAAACTTTGAAGCGAAAAATCTACCCCTCAATCATGAACGGTGTGCTAAATGAAACTTTTACACCATCAACTATTCGAAGGGTAGAAAAATACTCGTTACCAAATAGAGATACAGAATTTTACTAAAAATCTAATAAATTCAATATTTAGGTATATACTCACAATTCGATTCCCGTTCAAGTTTGGTGTCTTTTGGTGGCCCCGGAAGATTAATAATGACTAGTTGAGCATCGTGGGAGCGATTAACTATAACTTCGTTAAGTTTGACCGCCGTGTGCATTCTGCGAATGTTGGCTTCGTCTCTGTAAAAGAAGATTACCATAAGAGAAACTTAATCACAGTACCAAACGTTATAACGTAAGAGACACATACGGCGTGACAGATTTGTTAGATGTCTCAGTAGCGGCTTGTTCTTTGGTATCGTACACGGTTTCCTTCTCGGAGACATCTTCTTTTTCCTTGTCGTCCAAATGGTCATATTCATTTCCATCGGGCAAATTTAACTACGAATAATAAGTTAATTGATGACAAATAAATCTTTCAAATTTAACCTCGTTCGAAGGTTCGGATTCAAACTTGCTTTCTATCATGTTGTTGGTCTCGCCGTCCGCACTCGGTTCCTGAAACCGAACTTTAGTCGTTCTTGGGTCCATATTTTGATGGTGATGATCAACAATGGATTGTACCTAAATGTCGATACGTTAGCGATTTGTTTGAACAAGTGACAATATGAAAAAAACGCATGATATACGTAAATTAAAACCTGTTATGCAGGTAGGTACTGTAGGTACATAAGGGAGAAATCAGTAGAAAATGCGGATAACATTTTAGAAAATGAATAACGCATCAAAAATCATGCAAAAAAATAATAAACCATGAGGTGGTGCTAGCGCAACACAATTTTTTTTAAGTTACCAGAGGTTCTTTGTCTTCTGATGTTACTTGATGGAAATCCACTAAAGTCTCTACCTTGCATGTTAAGTACAAAATAATTTTCGTTAAACTTGGAATTCAAATTCACTGTGAGGGTTAAATTGAGTATACTTACCACGCCCAAGCTTTCTTTTTTGTTCAATCGCAGTTCGCGTAACATCTGATTACGTTGTTCCATCATTAAGGTGCGTTCGTAAGTGTAGGCGGAAATATCACTATCCATCTGTAACAATTCCATTTTAGCAAAAGCCATTGTTGAGACTTATAATACCATTTCAACAACTTCGACCTCCCCATCAATTCGTAAATGGTATAAAAACGTTTTCAAGTCTTTCTTCATTTGGATAGAGTTATCTTCCATTTGAGCGACTGTAAATATGCGCATTTTACAGTTTTTCCATGTGCGATGCTGTTTCAATAGAAACGGTAGTAACATTAGCAAACCACCATCGTGTACAATCCACCAAATGTCAATATTGCCAACAACTTTCTCTGATGAATCAGGAAAGAAGTTTATGCCTTTCGGAACCAAAAGCGCCATACGTGCTCCGGACACATTACGAACAGTTTGTAAAAATACTTGCCATGTTCGATCGTCTTCAGACTGTCGCCACCCGTAGGGCCAACCGAGTATAACGGTGTTCGGTTTTAACCCACCCAAGCCAGTCGTTTGAACCCTAAACAAGGTAACTGCAAAATAACTGGATATCACGGGAAAAAACTTACAGATGAGAAATCCCCTCAATAATGTTTCTGGCGACTAATATATCCACAAAACCTTTAACACGCTCTTCGTCCATGATTTTCGCCAAATTCTGCTTTGCGGCCATCGCTTCGCCGTACGACCGTGTGTAATCTCCGCTTACCACCGATACGCACACGGTTAAACCTTTCCCTGTAATTAACGGGTGTTGTATGAAGCCCGCTATGTGTTTGATCCTCTACTTTACCAGCTTTCAATTGAGCGGCAAACGCAAACAATTTCCGATATTTTGGAACCAAATCGTCCGTCAGCTTTGCCAATATAAGGATTTGTGGGCGCCAATTTTTGGTGTGAGGTGGCCCGTCTTCCAGACGAAGTAAGGAGTATCGTGCAGCTGATAGAGCAAGCCCACTAATCCCATCACCCCATTCCTTTTCAGCACTTTAAAATACACATATTAGATTTTGGAGTTTTCGAGCAGCCGCTTGGATTACCCCATGTATTCGATGTACTTATAGATACATCCGGCCATGCCCATCGCAACAAGGGCATAATACCAGGATGTCATGAACATAACTGCTATACAAAGTGATAAACCAATTACTGATAGTGACCAGTGATAATATTTAAATCTTGGCCGCCAGTTTGGTGTTCTTAGTAACGTTTGAAGGGCACACGCTAAATTGACAAAACCATAACACATGAGGAAGAACATGGATAACAACGGTGCAAGGTAGTCTACATTTCCTAACAATATACCACATTGGCATATTAACAAAGTTAGCACTAAAGCTCTTGTGGGTTCTCCTCGACTCGAGGATACGGCGAATGGGTTTAAAAATGGTATTATACCGTCCTTCGCGATTGCTTGTAGTAACCTCGGAGCCCCCGTTAGGGACTGTAGACCGGCACCTAACGTCGATAAAAATGACCCTATCAAAATTACCCACTGATTAGGCCACGCTATGTTGGCCACAACTAATTTTCCTCCAATGGATACACCAAACCTGCAATGTGCATTACAATAGGTAACACTAAAATATGGACAAGCCATACTTATCGCGTAATAATAAGTTGTCGACGGTTCCGGCAAAAAGTAATACTGCTGACAAATACACGGTCGAGGTTGTTAAAATTGCGCAAATAGTTCCGATTGGTATGGATTTTTGAGCATCGGCCAGATCGCCCGATCGATTGGATCCGGCCATAATGCCAGTTACGGATGGGAAAAAAATTCCGATGAGAATGGTGAACGCTGTGGTAATATCTGCTAAAACTTGATTATATGTTTCGGGATCTAATTGGTCGGTATCTTGTGCACGATTGCCTCTTGAAATGTATTGACCGACTTGCAAAAAACTCGAATGAATATTATCTGGTAGAAATGAAAATTTCAGAATTGAGAGATACTATCTAGGATATACTTAGAAAAGCTTCCGATGACAACCCCTTGATTCCACGTTCCGATGTTACGTTATGATTTAGAAAATAATCATTTTTACAGTCTTTGAAGGTTTTTGCGTCTTCGCCGCATAATTGTTTAAATAGGACACCGCCTTCCGTTTTGTTGCATTCTTCTCTCGTAACGTTTTTAAGTAGTCGATTGCCCAAAACGCATATACTGAAATTAAGTAACAAATATTAATTGTTAAATAATTTGCAATTGATACCAACAAGAGATTATCATTTCCGTTAAAGTTGACAAATATGCCGACGTACACAGCCAAAATTGAAAGAATCACACACGCTAGAGCAACAGTTGCAAACTTGTTGACAAATTTGACACCAATAAATACAATAATGCCCATTACAAGGAGGAGTCCCGTACCATAAACACGAAAATTATTATACATAATATTCACATCTTCACTGGGGTCTCCAAATATCGACAAACTAGGTGCCATATAGGTCTAAAATTTCAAATTTTAAAAAAGAGGACTTTCATTCAACTAGTGCCTACCAAAACAATTTCCACTGCTCCTACAATATACATGGCAGCGGCCAATGTCGTGCCCGTATAAAATAACATTCCGACTGCGCCTCCAAATTCTGGTCCTAACGATCGCGATATCATAAAGTAACTTCCTCCTCCAGGTACAACACCATTGGTGGCAATAGCGGACATGGAAATGGCTGTTAACATCGTTACGCAACAGCAAATAAAAACGATGAGAAATCCTTGAATTGCCCCAGCAGTACCCACCACCCATGTTAACCGAATAAATAAAATTACGCCAAAAATGTTTTGAATGCATGGTAGATACACTCCGATGAGTGTACCCATACGAGCGCCTCCTGCGGCTGGACGCGCGTCGGGATCTGATGATGCCGGAGGGATGGTGTTAGAATAGTTGGCGAGGGAGCTGATGAACGTCGAGATTCTTGGTCGATCTTCCATTTCCTCCTATAATCGGTTACTTAGGCTACATGAAACATTAGTAATTCACTTACCGAATACAGGTAAAGGTTTGTTTCGTAACCGGACATTTTGTCGGACACAAAAGGCTGCTCGTCGGTCCCATCTCCTGAAAATAAAAAGTGATACAATTAATTGGGTTCGTAGTACGTAGTACAGAATGTTAGACGTTGCAGAGAATACACGTGAATTATTTTCGCTCGCTTATCATATCAGTAGAACGTTGTAATGCGTTAATTTCTAATGGATGTTTAATCTTGGGATATAAGTGCTGTGTCTTTGATAAATGCGCTAACCTGGTTTGTAACCAATTAACTAACTGTGATCTCTTTTGCGATACGTGGTCATACGCAATCCTATCTTCGATTTTCCACTTTCGCCCGCGTATCATATCAGATCAGCTGTACGTCGTAATGCGTTATTATTAAAAATATGTTCAATCTCGCGATATAAGTGCCCTGCCTTTGATAAATGCGTAAACCTATTCTGCAACCAATTAACCAATTGTGATCTCTTTTGCGCTTCGTGGGCACACGCAAAAAGTCTCAAAATGCCAGATTGTAAAATGTGCTCTGCTCCCATTCTAACCCGATCCCAAATAACCTGCTCAAACTGTAAAGAGCCTACCCATGGGAACTGCGTTAACTTGACAAAAGAAGACATAGATTGCATAATCAAAGAAAGGCAAATCTGGCGGTGTCCCCCCTGCTCCAAGTTACGAAGGAAAAGTATGGCAGCAGTTTCTGCAGCAGAAGAAGGAACGGCTAGTATTGCAGAGGTAATATTTATGTTACAAGAGGCAAAAGAAGACAGAAGGAATTTGGAAGCCCAATTCAATTCATCATTTGAATTCGCACACAACAAAATAGATGAACAAAGTAAATTGATAGAAGAGCAGTCTAGAAAGTTAGACGAGTGCTTAACAAAAATTGAAAATCTGTCCCAAGAGAACGTGCAGTTAAAAGAAAAAATATGGAAACTGGAAACAAGAATTGAAGACGTGGAACAATACAGTAGATCGAACTGTCTTGAAATTTTTGGTGTCCCGGAGGAGAAAGGAGAGGACGTGTACGAGATAGTAAGGAAAGTGAGTGTCTCCTTGGACATGAACATAAATAGGGAACAAATTGACGTATGCCATCGATTAGGGAAACCACGCGATAGCTCACGACCGGCCGGTATAATAGTAAAGTTTGTGAGGAAAGAAGACAAGATGAACATGATCGCCAAAAGGAAAGTGAAGAGGAACTTATCTACTCAGCAGTTGGGGTATCAACAACCTGCAGGTCCGGTATATATCAACGAGAGTCTCAGCCCTGAACGGAGGAAATTATACTCAGCAGCGCGGGAGGCAAAAAAGATGAAAAATTACGCTTATCTATGGACACAAAACGGAAGAATCCTCATGCGGAAGGACCAAGGAACAACAGTGGTTCGGATCTCTACAATGGACGATCTAAAAAATCTGTAAGCGTTGTTATCTTCTTCATATTATTTATAAGGATGCCTTTGCTTAGTTCAAATTACTTAAAGTACATTAGTCAAAATGTCCTTTTTTTCTCTTTTCTTTTTGTTTTTTACATAAGTTTGTAAGTATCTACAGTTTAAATTAAAATGAGTAATGATTCATTTATAGAGTTCAATACTGTCGATCATGGTATAAAGGGTTTTTGTGTTTTTCATCAAAATATACGCAGCTTGAGAGAGAATTTCGATAAACTCCTTTTATATTTAAATTCTTTAAAAAAACTCCCGGAAATAATAATACTATCGGAGATCTGGATTTCAGATTCGGAATTGGGACTTTTCACATTTGAAAATTATAATCAATTTGCTAACTGCAACGAAACATATAGGGCAGGAGGGGTGATAGTTTTCGTATTAAAAAAATACGCAGTAAGAGCAAATTCACTGACAATGACAACTGCGGACGCAATTAAGTTAACAGTTCACATTGACTGTCAAATAGCTCTGTCTATAATTGCAGTTTATCGTCTTCACGCTTTTCATGTAAATATGTTTTTGAGCCAATTAAATGAAGAATTATCAAAATCTAAGGAGAAAAATCTACTTTTTGTTGGTGATGTCAATCTCTGCATTCTGGAGGCATCGACAATTGTAGACAACTACCAACTATTAATGAGCAGTTATGGTTTTGAGCAACTGATTAACACACCAACTAGGGGAAACCGATGTTTAGACCACATGTACTTGAGAACCCGAGATAATCTCCTGTCCGACTCATATGTTTTAGAGTCTGGTAGAAGTGACCACGATGTAATTATTTGTTCCTTTCTTCTTGATAACTACAAAAATACAAATCAATTCAATAACACCCAAACTCAATATAAGACAGACTATAAACAAATGCATTCGTTATTAAGCAAAGAAGAGTGGACCTCTGTCTTCGCTAGCAATAATGCTTCTGAGGCATTTGACAAATTTTTAGTATCCTATAAAGATATTATTGAGAAGTCAACCTTTACTCAAACAAAAAAATCAGGAGTTAAGTTGCTGAAGCCATGGATGACGTTTGAGCTTTGTGAGAGACTGAAACATAGAAATCTGTTGTATAAAAAATTAAAGAAAAATCCTGAAAATTTAAAATTAAAACAGTGCTTTCAGTCAGTCTCCTTAAAGCTGAAACAAAATATTCAAACTCAAAAAAGCAACTATTATTATAAACTTTTTGAAACCAACAAGGGTGACACCAAAAAACAATGGCAAACTGTAAATGCCATCTTAGGTCAAAGGATTGAAAAAAAGAGCATTGACTGTATTATGAAAAATGAAAAACCAAACATATTGATATATGACAACCTAGAAATTGCAGAAGAATTCAATCACTTTTTCACCACTGTTGTAGCACAGATTAAATTTTGTCTGTGGTTGTAGGCAGGCTTTTGGAAAATCTTGACTCATTTGATGGTTTTAATATGTGCGCATACAAAGAGACTTTCCCTTCAATACATGTCAGTAACTCTTTCTTTCTCTTGCCCACCTGTAAATTTGAAGTCTCCGATATTATAAATAATTTAAATGTCAATAAATCACCTGGTATTGATGGAATCTCATCCCGAACCATCAAAATGTCCAAAGAGTATATTAGTTCAGTACTCTCGTATATTTTTAATCTAAGTTTTGAAACAGGGGAATTCCCTTCCAAATTAAAGACAGCTGTTGTAATTCCGTTACATAAAAAAGGAGATTCAACAGAGTTGAATAATTATAGGCCCATTTCACTGCTATCTGTCTTTGCGAAAATATTGGAAAAGCTAGTTAAATCTAGGCTGCTTAAGTTTTTGAATTCAAAAAATTGTTTAAGTTCAAACCAATATGGATTTATTGGGAAAAAATCTACCGAGGACGCCTTACTATCGTTTTGTACCAAAATATACAATGGAATCAATTCAAAATTAAATACGGCTGGTTTGTTTATCGATATTACCAAGGCATTCGACTCTGTTGATCATAATATCTTATTAGCTAAACTGGAGGCTGTAGGAATTCGAGGTGTTGCCAAAACTTGGTTTAAAAGTTTTTTAACTGAAAGAAATCAATGTGTAAAAATAAAAAAACGAAACAAGTTCTCTTCTGCCGATCTCGTCGGGAGTACCGCAAGGTTCGGTCCTTGCACCAACATTATTTATTTTATACATAAATGAATTGTGTTTGGGGAATTTTCAGGGTACAGTGACTTGTTTTGCAGATGACACTGCGTTAAGCTATTCGGCTAGTAACTTTAGTACACTAAAAAGTAATATTCAATCAGATCTGAACAAACTAAAAACATGGTTTACTGTAAATAAGCTAGCATTAAGTTCCAAAACTAAACTGGTCTATTTCTCGCTACGACACAAAGAGCATATAAATGAGGATGTATATTTTAAATGCAAAAAATGTTTGAGTGGTTCGACCGAGGATATTAATTGTAGTAAGTGTGTATTAATTGAACAGGTAGAGAAAATAAAATACTTAGGGTTAATCCTAGACAAGAATTGCACCTGGAAGGAACATATACAATCAGTTAAAAAATATACTTATATGTCACTAAGGAAATTTTACCTCCTAAAGTTTGTCTGTCCAATGGAAGTATTAAAATCTGTTTATTTCGCATTGATAAACAGCAAACTGGAATATGGGCTAAGCTGCTGGGGGGGAGTATATCAATCATTAATCCAACCACTTCTTATATCTCAAAAGAGAGTTATAAGACAAATTTTTCAAATCAGAAGAAATGAGCATTCGTTTCCTTATTTTACATTGCTGCGGGCACTCCCTATCAGACATTTGTATGTATATAGAGTCCTGCGCATTTTTTATATGAGAGGCGGCCAAAAAACTGCAAATGAGGAGGTTCACTCGGCAAGACTGAGGAAATTAAATCGTGTAGCACTTTTAAAACCCACGTGTGAGGCATTTAAAAGATTTTACAGTTACACCACTTTATCGTTTTTCAATAAGCTGCCTCTTGAAGTTAGTAACGCAAACAACTTGACCAAGTTCTTAAAGAATTTAAAAAATTGGCTGTTTACATTAAATTTTGATGAAATAGAAAAACTTTTGACTAAAAATTGATTTCCTCTACGTCACTTAAAAAGCACTTATGAATTAACATTTTTATTTTTATTATTTTTTTTTAAATACATCCAACTTATGTTTAAATCAATTGCTTATTCTATAGAGTGTATCTATTGTAGTTCCTGCAACTGATATGTTACTGTGTTATATTTTTTATAGAAGGTAACCTCAACACAGCATTGCTCGGAGGTACCTGCCATGTGTCACGTAAGAAAATTTTCTGTTACGTAAGCTATACTTTTTGTTTGTGCTCCGTTGTGATACATGGAAATAAAGATTTACTCTTAAAAAAAAAAATCATTAAGTTATCCGATTAAAATGTTTACTGATCCTATTGGAAAAAGCACCAAATCAGTGCGAAAATCAATATCACTCAGTCTTCAGCAGTAAAATGCACAATAATATCAGGATGAATTTCAAAGAAATTAAATCGGACACCGTACACTACCTATGATAAGGAGTTATTTGCTATTTATGAAGCGGTCAAATGTTCGTGATTATACGGAAGGTAGGGAATTTAGAAGCTTC